GACCTCCTAAACACCAGTTCACTTTTTTCGGGAAATTGAAGAAACCCGCAATTTGATAATCTGTTTTTTCCGCAATAAGTTAAACGATAATACAGATTGGGAAAATCTACAGATATAAACAAACAACACTTCTAAATACAGTAAAATAAAAATGCCTTTTGGCCCTTATTATCTATATTCCACCGCGTGTCCTAATTCCCCTCCCATAAAACCCTATAACTACCGTTTTCGTAGTAAAACATGCAGGGAGTAGGGATTAATGTGTGGGGCTACGTAAGCTACTGTTGCCAAAGTCTATGTGCAACCGTAAGGTGCAAAAGGACTTAAAAGGATAATAGGAAACTGCAGAACGAATCGAGGGAGCGCTATCTTGAAATCTCTAAGTTACACCCTGTTGTCAGCCTTTAAACTAGCCGTTGTAACTTATAAACAGACGAAAGTTTCAACACGTTGGAGACGTTTCGCAATTTCTGCTGGGTCCTGTAGACTGTATTCACGACCTCGGTTCTACACAGTGCTTAACCGTTTTAAAACAACGCAAGACGGTTTTGTAAGGGTAGTTGAGGCTTGCTTTGCTCATCTGATTATAGGTTACTGAACGCTTAATTCAAAAGCGTCCGTTAACTGGAACGCGTGAAAGCACTTCCTAACACGTGGAACTGCCTGAAAAGTGCAACAACCTATTGCCACTGAGAGGTGTGCTGACTTCGGAAAATGCAAACCAAACCGATTCTACCATAGGGCTTAACAGAATAATGACACAGTCTTGTTTTGCTGATCAATAAACTGCCGTGAAGATACTTAGCACTCACGGGATTCAAGAGCTCCAGGTCTTTCTCACGTAACTGCTTATTAAATTTTGCCTGACATATGCTTTGTGTATTGTCGGGATGATAAAGTTGCTCGATAATTTGGCTGCTGGCTACCCGGCACCTGTTTCGTTCGCATGTGCGTGAAAGTTCAGCCCGCATGCACGACCCGCACGTCTCTTGCAGGACGCCTGGAGGTTAGAAATTACGACGGACCGACACAGTCGTAAAGAAATTAGGTTTTGCTTTGTAACCCAAGTTGAAAGACAGGAAAAAAGCATGTCGACTTCTCAGTCCGCGAGGCTGGTGAGAGTAGATGTGAGGATTCACCCTGCTCAACTGCAGTGAGAGGATCGGGTCAGGAATCTTGCAGTTGTCTGCCTAGCCAAGTCGAAGTATGTAACGCAAGGAGGATTTCTTCCGTTAACTCCTAAAGGGAGGCCACAATCGGCTTACATTATTGGGCTAGAGTGGCGACTTTTGGTAAACAAGCGACACTGGAAAAACTCGACTAACTTAGTAGTAAATCTCCTCTGCTGAGTGGCTAGTCGCGACGTGAATTACGACTTTACTCCTGACAGATCAGCCAGTGAAGAGGTCGAATACCTTCGCAGTTTCGACAAAAAACAACGCCCTGGCAGGCTCACTTTATGGGCTGATCCAGTGTGCATAGACAGATGAAACTGCATCCAATGACTGGAGCTCAATAGTTCTAGTGGATTATTGGGAAGGCCCTACGTGAAGAGGACGCTGTTGAGCTTGTACCCGGACGCCGACTGACTGGTTTCGACTACGCCAATGATATCGCCTTACTAACTTCGAGCTTTGGCGATCTGTAGTCTGTAATGTAACGGGTGAATGAGGTCGCTGCGTCGGTTGGCTTATCCGTCAATGCCGGAAAGACTAAGCTATTCTCGAGCTGCACCCCCGACTGGGAAAAGGTATCCCTGAGAATTAATGGCTGTCAACTTGAAGAAGTAGATAGCTTTAAATACCTTGGGATGAAGCTGCTACCGAATGGACATTGTCTCCCGAATCGATGCCGCTCGCCGGGTTTTCTTAATTTTCCGAAAGTGTCTATGAACCCGACGCGATATTTATATTGCCACGAAGGTTCGCGTGGGCCGTGCATCCGTCCGGTTAGTCATTCTTTATGGGTGTGAACGTTGGGCTTTGCGAGTGGAAAATGGGCGAAGACTGGAGGTATTTAATCACCGCTGTCAGACGACCATCCTTCGAGTGAAGTATACCGACTTCGTCTTAAATAAGATGGTCCGCCCTCTCTTCGAGAGTATCGCGAGGATATCTGAGGAAAGGTGGTTTGGGCACGTTCTTCATCGTCCGCCTCACGAGCTTTGCTACGTTGCCCTTGATCTGGCGCCACAGCCCACCTGAAGGCGTCGAAGAGGAGGGCAACTGAAGACTTGGTTCAACACCGTTCGTCAAGACATGGAAGCGGTTCCTAAATCTTTAATTTTCGGTCTCCGTCGCTGGAGAAGAGAATCGGTGGAGCTTTTCAGATCCACTGCCGCCACTCGTCACGCGTGGAGGGGTACC